GGTGGTTGTCATTCTTTGCAGAATACAACTTTACGGTCGAGTACAAACCAGGACGACTTAATGTCGTCGCTGATGCACTCTCACGTCGGCCCGACTTTGAACCAGTCGTGAAACCCAACAGTGAGACAGTCACTGTTGCGGTTATGACGTCCTCAGTAACATCTTCAACGTTATATGATGATGTGAGGCGGGCGTGGGCCCAAGATGGTGAGATTGTGAAGTTGTTGACACATCTCTCACAGCCATCTCGAGAATCGTTGAAACGATTATCGTCTGCGTATCGATCTGCATCAGATCGATACACTACTCGCAACGGTTTACTGCACTATACAGCCGTTTCTGGTGACACACCACGTGTTGTCATTCCAGATGATACTGATCTGTGTTTGCGGATCATGTTCGAGTATCACGATGCTCCTATAAGAGGACATCGTGGCCGGGAGAAAACATATCTCACGGTGAGTCGAGAATTTTACTGGCCCCGCCAGTATCAGTTTGTGCGAAAGTATGTTCGCGCATGCGAAGTCTGTCAACGAGTGAAGTCAAGTCCTTCACTGCGTGCACCTTTACAGCCTCTACCGGTTCCGGCTGAGTGCTGGGAATCCATCTCAATGGATTTCGTCTTCGGGTTACCCAAAGACGCACGCGGGAATACGGGTATTCTCGTATTTGTTGACAGATTCAGCAAAATGGTACACCTTGTGGCTGTACCAGAGACAATCACGGCAAGTGGCTGTGCTTGTGTCTTTATTGACACCATCTTCCGACTTCATGGGTTGCCCCGTGAACTCGTATCAGACAGAGATCCACGATTCACTGCTGATTTCTGGCGTTCCGTGTTCAAATCACTCGGAACGCGCTTGAAGATGTCAACATCTGATCATCCAGAGTCAGATGGTCAGACGGAACGTGCCAATCGTGTCCTTGAAGAGATACTTCGAGGATACGTACACTCCTTTAAGAGTTGGAGTGAGTTTTTGCCGATGGTAGAGTTTGCCATCAACAACTCGGTGCATGCGTCGACGACTCATACACCGTTTTACGTGAATGGCTTGCGCCATCCGCGTGTACCCACCTTACTAGAGTGTAACTCTGGTTTAAGGGGGGGAGGGACTCGCGCGAGCAAAAACCGATTTGGTTCACGCTCATCACGCTCTGACGAAGAAGTCATTGCGTTTGATGCCGATATCGATAACATCGATATCGAAGAAGATGATGCCAGTGAGAGTGCGGAAGCCCTCACTGAAGACAATGATCCCAGTGAGAGTGCGGAAGCCCTCACTGAAGAAAAGGTTGTTGTCGCTGCAGTGCGCTCACAGCACACTGAAGCTAACGAGTCATCAGATGAGTTCATACTGGCTCGTGAAACGGTAGTCCGTTTTGTGCAAGACTCCATCGCCGAAGCGGTGGATAAGCAAAAGCAAAACGCTGACAAGAATGGAAGGGCAAACACTCTTTCATCTAATAAAGGTGACTTAGTCCTACTGTCTACGGTTAATCTACCAAAACATGTAGTGACTAACTTGGGTAGCAGTAAACTACTACCCAAGTACATTGGCCCATTTCGTGTATTGCACCGCCTAGGCAATGCATACACGATCGAGTTACCACGTAAGATGCGAACGCATCCCACGTTTTACGTTGGTCGGCTTAAGCCGTACCATCAGTACGCTGCTTCTTCCGATGAAGAACGCCCTTGCGCTCAAGCATCTCGCAGAGAGCCTTGTGCTCCCGATGGTGGGCATCAACAAGGGTCTGAAGAGCAGTTATCTCAGCCCGAGACCGATCAACAATCCCACGAGCTACCCTTAGCTCGTCACGAAGAGATGTCAGAGATCTCTCGTTCTCAAGCTGAGCAAAGGCAAACTCAGCTCGATGCTTCGAGGCAGTGTCCACCATCTGGAGACGCCTATTCCGCTCATGCTCGAGATCGTCGCGTAACCCTTGCGTTACGCGATCAAAGAAGCTCTCGGGAACACACCGATCCACATGATCGTGTGGAGAGCGTCTTTCCTCCTCCTCCACCTCCATTAGAGGACTCTCGCGGTGGCCAGCGCTATCTAGTAGAGCAGCTGTTGAACCACCGCGACGTGAACGGACGTCGGACGAGTTACCTCGTCCGGTGGCGCGGCTATCCCCCGTCCTGGGATTCTTGGGAGCCCCGCTCCCAATTGATGGTTGACGTACTGGGTCTGGTCGAGCAGTACGACGCGACACATCCTGTGCCGCAGAAGTACCGCCGGAGAAAGTCTTCCCGGCACGGTCGTAAAGGGATTTCAGGTTGTCAATCCCTTCGTACATCTCAGTAGAGACACGTACGCGCCACCACGGGCTGGTAAGGAGGTAAGCCTCCTTAGGTGCTCGTGCAGAGTTGTTCACACAACATGGGCACGAGTCTCCCCAAGAGAGGCAGGGTAATCCTTTCTCCCTTGACAGACGATGCAGCTTGTAGCGTGCACCTGTCGGGGTTCGCTTTTCAAACTTATCACGAGCTTTGATAAGTTTGTCGTTCCAAGCGTCACGACCTACATCCTCGAGATTATGGATGTAGGCGTTCCACGCCTGAAGTAGTGAGGGACCATCACGTTTGTGATTCCCACTGTACCATCGATGTCTGAAGAAAGCATCGATGAAGAACTCATGTTCAGCGCGATAGTCTTTCGCGCTGGGGTCAAGGTGATGAATCCTTGACGAATCGAACAATCGTGTTCGATAACGATCACTCGTCGTCGCCGACAAGTGATCCATGACAGATTTAGGAGGCATCCATGCCTTCTTTTCTGGAGCGAGACGCAACACATTGCGGTCCCGCTCTTCCTGCGACGTGCCGACAGAAGTACTGGCACCTCGCTGTGAAGTGGTGTCCATTGGAGAAACGACACCACTATTAGCGCCCGAGTCTCGCGACCTCGAGCGCCTTCGCTTCGGCGATGGTTCATCTGACTCATCAGATGAACCAAAGATGCTGCGACGCAAAGCATCGTCCATGCCACGCTTGGCAGGCGGCTTGGATTCAATTGCCGTCGATACGGATCCGTCATCCGTATCAGGAGAGTACGAGACACCGAGCTCGTACTCTGTGAAGACACGAGTGTCTTCATGACCAGCGCCTGCATCACCAGGTGATACAGGCTGAGTCGATTCAGCAACCGATGGGATATCAGTTGCTGTAGTTTCTGCTTCGGCGTCCGCACAGAGACGTGCAGACGCGCTCTCGGCGGCCTTGCTCGCGCATCGCATGGGCTTGTTTACCATGCGATGAGATGTTGGAAAGTGGACGCGGACCAACAAGTGCAAACCCCGTCCCAAATGATTTGGGACGAGTATCCATTTAGTCAATCAGTCACTAAAGTGACTGATGGTTAAGGGGGGTGATGTAACGGGGTGAATCGTTACATAACAATTTATAAGAAATTGTTAATAGAATATAACTATAAGAGTTATATTCTCAGAATATTGTCATAAGGACAATATTCTGTAGCACTTCCAAGTAGTTCCTAATTGGTTGATATAGGCCATTATATCAACCAACGAAGACGCGCCACGACAGACGCACGCAATGAGTGGTGAGCAGATAACTGATTTACACATTTGTATTTAGACATAGTTAGATGAAGATAAATAGTGATTTATTGCAGACATTAACTATTATAAATACAGTTCTACTTTTTACTCTAACCGAGTACTCGCTTCTTCTTACCGTCTTCCTCTGCACGTACGAGTGTACGTGAAGTTACGAGGCACCGCCTTATTCTGTTATCAGAATAAGTAGCTTGTACTGTCACCAGTACAAGCTTCAGGGTGCCCCGTTACAAAATGGATACTCGTCCCAAATCATTTGGGACAGAGTTTGCACTTGTTGGTACGAGTCCACTTTCCAAGATTTCATCGCATGGTTAATAAGCCCATGCGATGCGCGAGCAAGGCCGCCGAGAGCACGTCCGCACGTCTCTGTGCGGACGCCGAAGCAGAAACCACAGCAACTGATGTCTCATCGGTTGCTGAAGCGACTCAGCCTGTGTCACCTGGTGGTGCAGGCGCTCGTCATGAAGACACTCATGTCTTCACAGAGTATGAGATCAGTGTCTCATGCTCTCCTGATACGGAATACGGATCCGTATCGACGGCGATCGAATCCAAGCCGCCTGCCAAGCGTGGCATGGATGATGCTATGCGTCGCAGCATCTTTGGTTCATCCGACGAATCAGATGAACCATCGCCGAAGCGAAGGCGCCTGAGGTCACGAGACTCGGGCGCTAACAGTGGTGTCGGCTCTCCTATTGACACCACTTCGCAACGAGGTACTAGTCCTTCTGTCGGCACGTCACAAGAAGAGCGGGACCGCAGTGTGTTGCGTCTCGCTCCCAAGAAGAAGGCATGGATGCCTCCTAAATCCGTCATGGATCGCTTGTCGGCGACGACGAGTGATCGTTATCGAACACGGTTGTTCGATTCGTCAAGGATCCATCACCTTGACCCCAGTGCGAAAAACTATCGCGCTGAGAATGATTTCTTCATCGATGCTTTCTTTAAACATCGATGGTACAGTGGGAATCATAAACGTGATGGTCCCTCACTGCTTCAAGCGTGGAGCGCTTACATCCATAACCTTGAGGATGTAGGTCATGACGTTTGAAACGACAAACTTATCAAAGCTCGTGATAAGTTTGAAAAGCGAACCCCGACAGGTGCACGCTACAAGCTGCATCGTCTGTCTAGGGAGAGTGGGTTACCCTGCCTCTCCTGGGGAGACTCGTGCCCATGTTGTGTGAACAACTCTGCACGAGCACCTAAGGAGGCTTACCTCCTTACTAGCCCGTGGTGGCGCGTACGTATCTCTAGTGAGATGTACGAAGGGATTGACAACCTGAAATCCCTTTACGACCGTGCCGGGAAGACTTTCTCCAGCGGTCCTTCTGCGGCACATCCTGTGCCGCATCGTACTGCTCGACCAGACCCAGTACGTCAACCATCAGTTGGGAGCGGGGCTCCCAAGTATCCTAGGACGGGGGATAACCGCGCCAACGGACGAGATAACTCGTCCGACGTCCGTTCACGTCGCGGTGGTTCAACAGCTGCTCAACCAGATAGCGCTGGCAACCGCAAGAGTTCTCTAATGGAGGTGGAGGAGGAGGAAAGACGATCTCCCACACGATCATGGGGAAGCGTGTGTTCCCGAGAGCTTCTTTGATCGCGTAACACAAGCGTTACGCGGCGATCTCGAACATGAGCGGAATAGGCGTCTCCAAATGGCGGACACTGTCTCGAAGCATCGAGCTGAGTTTGCCTTTGCCGAGCTTGAGAACGAGAGAGCTCTGACGTCTCTGCGTGACGAGCTAAGGGTAGCTCGTGGGGATTTTGATCGGTCTCGGGCTGAGATAACTGCTCTTCAGACCCTTGTCGATGCCCACCATCGGGAGCACAAGGCTCTCTGCAAGATGCTTGAGCGCAAGGGCGTTCTTCATCGGAAGAAGCAGCGTACTGATGGTACGGCTTAAGCCGACCAACGTAAAACGTGGGATGCGTTCGCATCTTACGTGGCAACTCGATCGTGTATGCATTGCCTAGGCGGTGCAATACAAGAAATGGGCCGATGTACTTGGGTAGAAGTTTACTACTACCCAAGTTAGTCACTACATGATTTGGTAGATTAACCGTCGACAGTAGGACTAAGTCACCTTTATTAAATAAAAGAATGTTTGCCCTCCCGTTCTTGTCAGCGTTTTGCTTTTGCTTATCCACCACTTCGGCGATGGATTCTTGCACAAAACGGACTACCGTTTCACGAGCCAGTATGAATTCATCTGATGACTCATTAGCTTCAGTGCGCTGTGGGTGCACTGCAGCAACATCAATCTTTTCTTCAGTGAGGGCTTCCGCACTCTCACTGGCATCATCTTCTGCGATATCGATGTTATCGATATCGGCATCAAACATAATGACCTCTTCGCCAGAGCGTGATGAGCGTGAACCAAATCGGGTATTGCTCGCGCGAGTCCCTCCCCCCTTAAACCAGAGTTACACTCTAGTAAGGTGGGTACACACGGATGGCGTAAGCCATTCACGTAAAACGGTGTATGTGTCGTGGACGCATGCACCGAGTTGTTAATGGCAAACTCTACCATTGGTAAAAACTCACTCCAACTCTTAAAGGAGTGTACGTATTCTCGAAGTATCTCTCCGAGGACACGATTGGCACGTTTCGTCTGACCATCTGACTCCGGGTGATCAGATGTAGACATTTTCAAGCGCGATCCGAGTGATTTGAACACGGAACGCCAGAAATCAGCAGTGAATCGTGGATCTCTGTCTGATACGAGTTCACGGGGCAACCCATGAAGTCGGAAGATGGTGTCGATAAAGACACAAGCACAGCCACTTGCCGTGATTGATTCTGGTACAGCCACAAGGTGTACCATTTTGCTGAATTTGTCAACAAATACGAAAATACCCGTATTCCCGCGTGCGTCTTTGGGTAACCCGAAGACGAATCCATTGAGATGGATTCCCAGCACTCTGCCGGAACTGGTAGAGGCTGTAAAGGTGCACGCAGTGAAGGACTTGACTTCACTCGTTGACAGACTTCGCATGCGCGAACATACTTTCGCACAAACTGATACTGGCGGGGCCAGTAAAATTCTCGACTCACCGTGAGATATGTTTTCTCCCGGCCACGATGTCCTCTTATAGGAGCATCGTGATACTCGAACATGATCCGCAAACACAGATCAGTATCATCTGGAATGACAACACGTGGTGTGTCACCAGAAACGGCTGTATAGTACAGTAAACCGTTGCGAGTAGTGTATCGATCTGATGCAGATCGATACGCAGACGATAATCGTTTCAACGATTCTCGAGATGGCTGTGAGAGATGTGTCAACAACTTCACAATCTCACCATCTTGGGCCCACGCCCGCCTCACATCATCATATAACGTTGAAGATGTTACTGAGGACGTCATAACCGCAACAGTGACTGTCTCACTGTTGGGTTTCACGACTGGTTCAAAGTCGGGCCGACGTGAGAGTGCATCAGCGACGACATTAAGTCGTCCTGGTTTGTACTCGACCGTAAAGTTGTATTCTGCAAAGAATGAAAACCACCGCGCCATTCTTTGGGAGAGGTGCGGGCTGTTCACTGCCGTGCGTAACGACGCATGGTCTGTGTAGACAATGAAGGGTCTATCTCCCAATAGATAGACTCTGAACTTCGCGAGTGCATACTTCATGGCAAGGAGTTCCTTGTCATGCACTGGATAGTTCCGCTCAGCTGGTTTCAGCTGACGCGACTGATAACAGACGACGCGTTCAACGCCTTCAAGATCGTACTGCATTAATGCACAGCCGATTGCGAAATCGCTGGCATCACAGACCACATGAAATGGCCTGTCCTGATCGACAATTGCTAGGACTGGGGATTGTATCAAGCTCTGCTTGATACCATCAAAAGAGCGCTGACATTCAGCGTTCCATAACCCCCTCTCGTTCTTTTTCAACAAACGAGAGAGGTGTGCAGTCATCTCGGCGTAATTGCGTGAATACTTATGCAAATACGCCGCTAGCCCAAGGAATTTTGGAAGACCTTTAACATCAACCGGCACAGGCCAGTCGGTGATCGCCTTGATCTTTTTGGGATCAGGACATACACCGTTCTTACCAACGATGCACCCAAGAAGTGGTATTTCGCTTGCTGCAAATATACACTTCTTGAGGTTTGCATACAATTGATGCTTTCGCATGATTGTAAGAACCTGTCGGACGTGGTACCTGTGAACCTCAACATCCGACTTTCCATCCATAGCCCGACTATGGATGAATACGTCATCGAAATAACTCGGCGCGAATTCGCGTACTCGTCTCAACAAATGTGATACACATCTGTTGAACGTGGCAGGGGCATTACTAAGCCCTTGTGGCATTACTAGCCATTCCCAGAGCATGCCGCTAGGCGTGCTGACTACGGTATAGGATATATCCCGTTCTCCCATAAGAATTTGATAGAAGCCATCCATCAAATCCATGGACGAAAAGAAGGTACTCTTTGACATACCATCAATGATTACGTCCTTCCTCGGTATCGGCGTCTGAGCCGGTACCGTTGCAGCGTTCAATTTGTTAAATGCATGCACTATCCGCCACCCTCCTGTTGCTTTTCGCACACAGAAGGTCGGAGAGCTATGTGGGGAAGTTGATTCCTTCACATGGCCCGCAGCTAAACGATCAGCAAAGAACTTATCGATCGCAAGTACTTGTTCACGAGGCAGTGGCCACTGCTTTATGACACAGTACTTCGAGCCTGGTTTAAGCTCGACCTCGTGTCGAATACCTTTATCCTTCGGTAATTCGCACGGAACAGTTTCAGGGAATACATCCTTTAATTCAACCAAATCTTCATAGAGAGGATTTGTCTTGAGCGGTTCCCACGATTGGGAGTCATATCGCTCAACTCGTGTCTTTTCATCTAGGACACTCTCGTCCATCGATGAGCTACTGAGAACTCTCTCGTTCTCAGTAAACACTGTTGCTGACCTTATGTCGGCTACACACTCGTCGTCAGCGACGAGTACGCAGATCTGCTTGACTTTACCACTACGCAGATCACGCAAGAACCTTTTATGTTCGAGCGTTGGAAACTGAGTGATCTCCGAAGTCAACTTCGGAGGCGCAATCAGATCAAGTGTATAAGCGCCTACAATTGATCCGTTATTGACTATGACATTCAATTTCTCTGTCATTTCCTGGGGACGTATTCCCTCAGGCCTCGAATGACTTATTCCTTCGGCTTCCCGGGGACTTATTCCCTCGGGTTTCGGGGAACTTATTTCCGCCGTATTTGTAATATCGGGACTTATTCCCTTAACTTCCTCTAGCTGGGGTTGCGCAACCACAGCGAGATCCTCTAAGAAAGACTCTCCAGTCGATCTAGGATTATCGTTTTACTTAACCTGAGCGATCGATTGTTTCTCTTCTAGATGTCCCCCGATAGGGATACATCTTTATCCCGGTCCACTCGACTCATTCAAGTGGTGAACCTTCGGCGCAGCCTGTGTGTCCTCACAGCCGCCGGAGCTTTGCTCCGAAGTGTAACCGTTTGTTACACTAAGGTTTCGTGAAGTCGTACTAACGACCGTACCACAAGTGAGGCAATCGCACTCACTCGTAGTACATCCACACGCTTGTGGACGCTCCAAAACGTTCATCAGATGTCCATCTGATGCACAAGCGGCAGGCATCGTTACTGTTCGATGTTGCCAGTTAACCCGTGGTTCGTACCTTCTGAGCCACGGTATTCCAAGGATGACATCAAATTTGTCATCCAAATCCAATACGATAAAGTCATCGTCATATTGGGTATCTTCTAGCGTATAGTGAATCTTCACTATACGCTTTATGACGGTTACGGATGCGCCTGTCGCAAGACGTACCGTCATCCTCGTAGGAGGTGTGTCACATTCACTGAACTTAAAGTGACCATCTTCTAGCGATTGGCGTCGCACAAAATTGTTAGACGCCCCACAATCGACAAGAGCTCGAAGGGACAACTTATATCGTCACTTCAAGTTTCAAGGTAATGAGTGAGATCTCATTACCTAAAGCAGCAACGCACAATGATTGTGTGTTGGGAGCAACCTTCATCAAGAGGCCTATAAATTCTCTTGACGTTGCTGGACCAGTAGGGTGCTCCGCACCTACTGATCCTGTCCGTTTTTTGACGGTCCATCCCGTTGTGCGTCTTTGCACCAACAGCGGACCCTCGTCCCTGCCCCTTTCTCATGGGTGGACGGTCATTACGCCCAGTGTCGCGAGACACTGGACGAGGGGCACTACACTCGTAAGCGTAGTGTCCTGTCTTTTGACATCTGTTGCATCTCTGCAACTTCTTGTAGCCTGTAGAGCGAGCCTTCTCGCTCTCTACATAACAGAGTTCCATCGGCTCTAGACCTCCGCTGTCATATCGTCTCGGTTGACGATATGATGTCGAGCTGGCGCGAGCCTGTCTCAGACTGAAGTCTTCCTGTTCCGCGATGGAAATTGCTTGTTCTAGTGAATCTAGTTCAAGTCGGAACAGGTGAGTCTTGACGGGACCATCCGCAAGACTCTGCATGAACACCGAAACCAACGTGTGTTCATCCACCGGATTGGAACTTATACAACTC